ACTTACATAGAACTGTTCAAATAACTATTTTCTATTAACAGAAAGTACAAAAAATTTTTTTTGCAAGTTTGGCAAGTGTTCAAACTTAACAACTTTTTTCACCATAGAAACAACTCATGATGAAAAGGTGGATTCAGTTCGCAAAAAACAAAGTATTGCAATTTGATCATATGTAACTAACTGTAAAGAGTTCACATTAGAACATATCAAATTTTCATGCCATTTGAATGATTTTTCGCAGTTCTATGAACATTTGAATTTAGAACTTTTTTTTGTAGATTTCAAAATTTTCGCAAACTTTTGACCGGTAGTGTATATCTCTTTATAAATAAATAGTAAGCTTCCTTAATCTACATTTTTATTAGTGATGTCCCTTTTGAATCATAAATTCTCATTTCAACGAAAATACTACATCTTATTAAGGATGCTCAGCCTTAAGAATATAAAAGAAGGAAATTTTAATTAGTTTTAAACATTTCATTGAAGTAAAACAAAATATCCAGTCTTTAAACAGCAAACCATCTTATCAGAAAGGCTTTGAATAATCTCTAATAAATTTGAGAATTTTAACTGGTGAGCTGTTTATCCAAACATGTATTCAATAAAAGTTACAAATGGTTATTAAAATTTTAGTTATTTAAAGTTTACTAAAGAGTATGGTTGCTACTTTAAATATACCTATTAAGTTATGCATTTTTATTTAGCTTCAAGACTTATACAATCAAATAAATTTTTAACTTAAAAAAAATTTAACTTACCAAATAAATTCTGTAAGCATCTCCTCTGGTGACTGGAATATCAGGATTCCAACAAGAAACAGAATTGTTCTTTGTAACATTGCAAGCTCCACTTGGTGTATAAAAACTATGAAGCATAGAAAAAAAAACTTCAAATATTCATGCTGAAAAACTTGCATTAATATTTGCAAATCCAACTTAAAATCAAATGACTGATTTAATTCAACATTTATTTAAGGACTCCATTTTATCATGAGTTCTAATTAGATTTATATAGCAAAGTGACTATTTCAAAGATGCTTAGTCAGAGAGAGGTATGAATGTAGCATTAGTCAACCAAAGCATTATCCTAATTTATAACTATATTCAAATTGAATTTTTTTTTTTTTTTTTAATTGGTAATATCTGCAGGTATCAAAATATTTTATAAAAAATATTACATTATGCTAAGTTTCAAAATACCAATTAACTTTTTATTAGTCTTCATAAATATTTAGTTGCATTATTTATCTTACAAAATTTGCATGAAGGAATAATAATACAAACTAAATAAAATTTTGCTGTGACTATAAAAATTTTGTCATTTCTCTTATAATCTACTTATACAGTATGTTTCAAATTCAGTCAAAAATTGCAGGGAAAAATGACTTATTGTGAATTGACATTCTAACTTATGTAAGCTCAACTTTAATACACCATTTTGCTAATAAAGAAGATTAGCTGGTGCTAATGTCATAGGTCACATGTGTGGGTATAGATTGTCTTCTTTTTCTTGGAGTGCAAGTACCCAATTTATTGCAATGTCTGTGATCTAGTTTATATTATTGGACAAACAAAAAAAAAGCCCTAAAAGAAAGAGTTCAAGAACACTCAAAATATTAACCAAGAAGAAATTATTGTAAAATTTTTTACCTCCAAACATTTTTGGAACTTATGCTAGACTTTAAAATTTCAAGACGCTAAGGAATTTTAATTTAAAAAAAAATAGCTCTTCTCACCAAGTTACATCCTTCAAAGACTTTGAAACAGCTGCTGCATAGATTGCAAGATCTCCATATAAATAAATAGCGATACAAACATAGAAAATGTTAACACCAACTGAAAAAAGTTTTTTTTTCTTAAATATTATATTACAAACGTCAGGAAAAAAAAAAAGAATTAATATGTTAAGAATAAAAATTTAACTTACTTTTATTAAAAAACAGCATGGCCATCTTTCCCTTTAAAAATAAAATAAATCTTAGTAGCATACTTAATTGAAGTATTTAATCTTTATTCAAATTCCAAATAATGATCTTACAAAGTTATTTATTCATTAATATAGTACAAGCTCTCTATCATATAACCTCAACACTAAAATTTGTGTATCACTGGCCAAATTTTCTAGACCTTAATGGCAGTTCACCAGAAACTTAATACGGGCACTATATCCCTAAGAAAGCACATAGCATTTTATATGAAAAGGTGGGATATTTAAGGGACCCATAATATTCAAATTTATAATTTTTTTTATTAATAAAATTATTATTGTAATGAATTGCACTTTCTAACAATGTGATTTTTTTTTAAAAAATGGGTCAAATATTCACATTTAGAAAACTTTCAGAATTGAAAATGTTGAATTGAAATCATTGAAATTTTAAAAATCCTATCAAAATCTGTAGCAATAATTGCTGAAAAAGCAATCCACAAAACCATATAAACATACATAAAATCCTCACAAATCGGGTGTATCAAAAATTTATTGTCTACACAAATGCATGATTTGAAACTCATTGGTAGTAAATACTGTTGTATTTAAAATATCAAGATCTTAAAAACTATCTTAAGTGATTGAAAAAAGATAACTAATAATTATCAATAAAACAATTTTAAAATGAGGGTGATTTAAGATGGCATCCTTATGAAGTAAATATGTTGAAAATTGATTACTCCAACTCAAAATTCGAGTGCTGAAATAACATTGTGTTAAAAATCGACCTTCAAAAACCATTTGCAGATGCCCAAAAAGTGATAAATAATTGACCAAAAAAAAACTCTTAAATGACATGGATTTTCGATGGAAAAGTCATGATCTAACATGGCAGAAAGTGATCACTCAAATTTGAAATTTGTGCGTCGTAATAAAATCCCATTATAAATATCGGAATTTGAAAAACAATGTGGAGAGGGCTGATACTAACTGCTAAGCAACTATTCGGATTAGCAATGGTGAAGTTGTGATCAAGTGCATAAAAAAGTAATCATTCAAATCCACATATGAGTGTTATAATAGCATTATGCTGAAATGTTGAGATTAAAAAAAGAAGAAGAAAAATAGGTGAAAATGAGCCATAAATGATAGAAAAATGGCAAGGAATTGCCTTTAGTCTAGTGAGTCAGAAAAATGATAATTCAAAGTTTGCATGTTGTTATAACATTGTATTAAAAATATCAGAGATAAAAAGCCACAAGAAAAAAGGTTGAAAAACAGTAATAAATTCTAACCATAAAAGGTAGGACAAAATCTTCTCTTGACCATAACTATGTATACAAAAAAGGCAAAATATTATTGAATAAATGTTTGATATACAATTGGAGATCATTACTTATGGGTAACAAGCAACGATTGTTGAGACAAAAATAAAATTAAAAAAAAAAAAGAACTACATAGGAAAATGTTTTTCACTTACCATTTCTATTCTTTCAGTGATATTAAAATACTCAGTAGAGTTTTCTGCGATAGTATCAACAGAATCTATAAAATTATTTTTAGGAATAGAAAAAAAAAATTACAACAACAGCTAGCATTTGAAAACAACATAATTAAAACTATAATTATTTGAAACTATCAAAAAAATATGAAGTTAAGGAAAATTATTAATTATTGAGAAATAGAAATAAGAACAGAAACTTTTTGACATCTTAGTTCTTCTATTTTCCATAAAGTATTTTTTTTTTATAAAGAAATGATAAATGATGCAAATAAATTTTATTTATGCCATTAAAATATTAATAATTTATTGACCTAAAATTTAGGATGGTCTTGGTATCTAAGATACAATACTGTGTCAAATAATAGATTAAATTATATTCAAACTTTTGAGTTTGACCTTTTCAGGATTTTTCTACAGGAAGCAACTGCCTCATAACAGTATCATATAACAAAGTGGTTTTTCGAAATTTTAATCTATGTTTATTTTTAATATATGTTTCTGACCATGTTTTTTTTCTCACTATAATGAATACATTTACTATACTTTAAAATATATGCTTAATATATTTAATATATGTTTTTTAATTTTTTAATCTATGATGCTACTATTTCATTTTTCTTTATTCTACTCCAAACTGCAATAGACAAAATTTATTGTGATTTAATCAGAATGATCTTCTTTCATTCAATTAAATACAGATAAAGGCAGTTAGTAACTTAAACAATCTTAAATTATTGACCATGACTTTAAATAAGTAAAAACTGAGAATTAGTTATAAATGACACTTACTTAACAACAGTGGAACTTTTTCATTTGCTGCTGAATTGCAAATTACTTCATCATTATCAAATTGTTCCTATAGAAATATAAGCAGATTAATTCGAAAATTGACATTTATAGAAACTAAGTTACTAAAACAATTTTAAAAACAGCAGCATAGCAGTAGTATAACAACAGATAAATCCAGGTTTACGGAAAAACATAGCATCCAACTATTGATTTAAAAAGAAATTTTTATGATCCTGGAAAAAATGTAGAAATGGGGGTAATGTTAAGTTAAATAGATTAATCCAGACATTCTACAGAAGTTTTTTTGAAAAGAAAAAGAAATCAACTTTCACAATGGTATTGCACTGGAAAAGAAATCAACTTGCACAAACTATAAATTAAACTGAAAACTATTTAACAAATATATTTCAGGTAAAGAATGAGAACTGTGAAACACAAACAGAACTGTAATTCTTAACAAAAATAACAAGATTTAATAATTTTCTTTTTATGAGTTTGTTTAATGTGACACAACAGAAGTACCAGGAAATGAACTAAGTTAAAATTGCATTAATAAAGGTATGTTGCGCATAGAGTAAGAAAAAGAAACCCTAAAAATTAATCTAAGTTAAAATTGCATTAATAAAGGTATGTTGCGCACAGAGTAAGAAAAAGAAACCCTAAAAATTAAACTATATTACAAATAAAAATAAGTGAATGATCAATTTTATTATTATTTTAATATCTTGTTCTTATTAGTTATTTTAAAGAACAATTCCAAATGCAGTAAAGAAGGGAGAAAAAAAATAATGTTGCCATAGTTGAAATCCTCAGTAAAGAAAAAAACTCCTCTATGCATAACTATTTGTCTGTTGAAGGCTGGATAAGAAATAAAATAAATTTCTTCTTATAACTCTAGAAAAATAAGATGGTATAGTATTTAGTGACCAAAATTTATTTTATGCATATCCAACATATTTTCCACAGAAAATCTTTTCTTTTTATCTTTCTGATTTTGCTACAAGATAGCTTATCTTATAATTATCAGAATTAATATTGGTCATATAAGTGTATATATATATAGATATATATATATATACAGTGCCCGCCGTTTATTAAAATCACTTTCGTTTTATGTTCTTTTGATTTTATTAAGCGGCTGATTTTATTAAGAGGCGATTCAACATTTGAAAAAAAAAAAAAATTTTATTTTTTGTATTCTAAATGCACACACTTTAAAAGCTGAAATAATGACAACGTTAATATTTCATTTTAACTAATTTAATTATTTTAATAAAGTAAAACCCTACATAAGATTAAATTGCAAATAGTAACCGATCAATGGTTGCTTGAGTTGCAGTACTTAAAATTAACTTTTCAACATCATTTGAGAGTTTATAGAAGTCTTTATAGTTTTCGATATTTCCTCCTCTTTGTTCTAAGCTTGCCGCAATACATTAAGTGCTTTTCTGACTTCCATTGAAGATGGCACTGATGAGTTTATTTCATCTTCTGAGTTTGATTCCTCCATTTCTTGATTGAAAATAACTTTGAAATTTTTGATATCGGTAACAATTTCAGAATCAGATTTTTCTCCTGATGATTGCAGGTTATCGTNTTTTTCCCTCTTTTCTACTTCATTTTTGGAATATTTAGGAATTGGAAACCACTTTCATTACCGACATCATCAAACAAGATATTAAAAATAATAGTTTTTATTTCAACATTTTTCGTTTTAGTTTCTTCTAAAGATCACCCCTTTCCCTCTGTTGTTGTTTTGTTATATTAACCTTTTACGACAGAAAAAAAGTTGTAGTATGTGCGAGATTTTTTTCCCTCTTTTCTACTTCATTTTTGGAATATTTAGGAATTGGAAACCACTTTCATTACCGACATCATACTTTACACTTGATAAAAGAGTATTTCTTCATTTTGCTTTTGAAACTTTCATATTGTCTTTCTTTTGCTCTTGTTTGAATTTGAAATATTGCTTTGACTAGTTTTGTGTTACTTCATGTAAAATAAACTTTAAAATAAAATCAGTTGAAAATGAGCTATATTTTAGGCCAATGGTTCCCAAACTGTGTTCCCTGGAACCGTAGAATTTAGTAGAGAGGGCTCACAAGGTTCCAAAGGTTAGGACTTTTTTACGTGACTTTCAGTTTTTGAATGATTTTTAAAGCATGTAATTATATTTGTATGAAGCCTATAATATATGTTTTCATTAATATTCAGGTTATTCTTATGAAATTATTTGAATAAAATTCCATATATATATATGTGTGTGTGTGTGTGTGTGTGTGTAATAACAGGGCTACAACCCTGTTATCATTGGTTGCAATTAGCTTAAATAATTCAGACGTGAACCACTTATTTCTTCATTGGTTTTATTTATGGGTAGGCTGGTGGCTATAACATTTCACATCCACTCTCCACAAGGGAGGGGGTGGACAAAACTCCGGATGGTTCCGGCAGATCTTACATGGAACACATCACACAGCTAGAGTCATGCGAAAACAATCGCTCCTGCATTAAGTACTAACAGAAACTGAGTGAAAAGGCTCAATCATCGCATACCTTGTAACCCTACACATTAAGGAAAATCATTTAATGCTTCCTAATATGGAAGTGAAAAGGGGCAAGATTCTAAAAATAACTCCTTTGGAATATGAATCTAATTATTATTTATTGGTATGTTTTCAGCGTTGAGTCCCAAAATAGAATATCTCTACACCTATTCTTTACCAAAGACATTTTATGAAAAGAGTTTTAATGTTTTTATTAATACAAAAGTATTTATAATTTTTGTATTATACATATGTAAAGTAATACTTTCAATTAAATTTTTCTAAATAAAATTGCAGTAAATCAACTGCACTTTATCGTAATCAAAAAAATTTATAGTTTTAATTTTGTTTAAAATTGCATTATGTAATAACTATATCAATTAAAATTGTAATAAGTCAAAGAATTATGGTTCCTTTGCAATACCAAGTTAACTTGATACAAAGTTATAAACAAGAACATTTTGCTCTTAACATTACATATATTGAAACATCTTACAACTAACTGTTGGCCTCCACAATCATCAATTATGACATCTTCATTTTTTATAATTTTCTTTAAATGCTTAACAGTACGAAAATGAAGAACAGCATTAGCAGCAGCCATTGATTCTGTCATAAATGTCACTGTGACAAAACTACAAAACAATGGAAAAAATTATAATCATAAAATAACAATGCAGAAATATACATTGAATACTTTAGAAAGACAAGAAAAAGGTTCAAACTGAAAATTAGATCATAATTCTTTTTTGGCTAATTTTTAAATAAATGACAACTACAAAGCAGTAACTCGAGAGAAAAATAAACTTAATGAATTTCTTAAGAAATTAAAACTATAATTTTTTTTTTATGTTTCACTTAAAGTAGTATAAATAAACCTAATTTTATAATTATATAAAAATTTTAAAATAATCATTATCTTACTATAAAAAATATTATTAAATTAACCCATTGCATTCCATTCCAGTTCACAACTACAAATCATATATTGTATTCATAAGTAGAATATTAATTTTTATGTTGAAATTCTGTTTGTATAAAAGTCATAATCTCTGATACAAACAATTCTACAATAACAATCTAGCATTGAACTTGGCAACAGGCATCACACATTTATTTTAGTTTCGCTCATTAAACTAAACTTAGCTTCAAGCAGAAAATTTTTTATATTTTTCTCTTGTATTATCGAAAGAAAACTGCTTAAAAGTATTAAATTACAACAATGAATAATTACTAATAAATTAAACATTCTACAAATAACTAGTATCTACATAAAAGAATATTGATATTTTGAACATAACGATAAAAATCATATATAAGTTAATTTTCCCCCTAAGATTTAAAATTGATGTAAAATTTATAAAAAAGTTTTTAATACAATTTTAATTAACTCATTCAGAATTAAGGTTCAATATAGAATTCTATGAACTTTTAATACACCGTTTAATAAATAACTTATATAAAACACAATTTCTGAAGCAAAATGTAACAAGCTTTAAGTCTGAGAAAATTATAAATAAAAATTTCACATGAGTAAACATAGTATAAACTCCACATAATACATGAATTTGGTAATTCATTACAAATTCAACTTATGTGATATTGGTAACAAATTCTAAATTCTAAATATATTTCAGTAACATGCATTATAAATTATTTACCTCATAAAAGCGAGGACGATGAGTATGATAAGACTGAGAAGCCAACCAGCCTCAGCAATGGGTGAAGGCATCGCGAGAGCACCAGTTCCCACAATCAAGTTGAAAACGTACATGAGACCCATCTATAACAGTTTTTTTTAAATTGAATTAATTGAAACAACAGAATTAAAACTGAAGAAACAATGAAGTTTATTAATAAAAAAATATGATCTATTTACACGAGTTTTTATTATTCAAAAGCTAAAATCTTCCAAACATTGCAAAAGTTTATACAGTGAATTCGCGATAACTCGAATCTGATAGGACTGACCAAAAACTTCGACATATCGGAAGTTCGACTTACCGTTAGTTTTGGTTTTGGACTCTCAAAATATTGTCGGATTATTTAATTAATGCTTATTAATTACAAATCTTCTAAATGCTTACAATATTTAAGATCATTTTTCTGACAAGCCATTTACGATAAGACTGTTTGAAGCACTTTATGATACCCTGGTCCATCGGCTGCAACTTTGCTGTTGTGTTTGGCGGGAGAAACTGCAAGTTTACTGCTTTCAAATTAGGTAGATCACTATGCGCTGTGCATTTATCCATAAAGAGTATCACTTTTCTTTTTTTAGCGAAGAATTTCCGATCCAATTTTCTTACATAGTCTTCAAATAAAACTGATGTCATCCAAAACTTTTTGTTAGACTTGTAATCCAAAGGATACGTTTTTACATTCTTGAAACATCGGGGATTTCGGTATTTTCCGATAACAAGTAAGGGCAATTTCTCTGTCCCAGACGCATTTCCTCCAACTAGGACAGTAAAACCTTCCTTGCACATTTTACCCCCTGAGCAATTTTCATCCTTAAACATCATAGTCTTATTTGGAAGACATTTTAAAAATAAACCCATTTTATCAATATTGAAAACATCATTTTAAATGTATCCTTGAAGTAAATTTGGTAAAGTTTCACTTAACCACTGTTCACATACTTCAAGAGGGACAGCTTTATCTTCTACATGAAGAGTGCGAAAGATATTGTTGCAGAGGGAGGAGAAAGATTTCAGCTCCTAGGTTTTTTTTTCTTGCTTTAAAAGATCCAAAAAAAAATCGAGTTAAAGGGAGTAAAATTCGAGTAATCGAGAATAATTAACATGAAATTAAAGATAAAAGGGTCGGGATCTCATAAAAAAAATTGAGTTATAGTAATATTCGAGTTATCGTACTTCGAGTTACAGCGAATTGACTGTACTAACTTTATGAAATAACGTAAAGGTTTCCAACATATCTGTTTTTTTTTTTCCATTTTTAAACTGATTGGCAGTATTACACCAATGTGTATCTAAATATTATTTCATGATAGATTTTCAGAATTTCCTTTTTTTTTAATTAGAAATCATGTTTTTAACTAGAAACATGTCAGGAACAATTTGTAAGTAGGGCTCATTGTCATACTAAACCATACTCTTCAACTGACTTCTGCAAGTTACTTTCAATATCAATATAAACTTGTGTTTGCCAAAGTTTTTTTTTTTTGTATTTTAAATATATATATGTGTATTTATATATGTGTCATCAGCTCACACAATTATACTTGTAAAAAGGAATGCTTTCTAATACTTTAATAATATAGCGAAAGCAAAATATATCAAAATAATAGTGTGTGGAACACTAATAAAATTGAAACGAAAACAGAATACATCAAGTAAAAAATATACAAAATAAAACATATCAAGTAAAAAACAGAAAATAAAATGTAAACGAAGCATTTATTTAAATACCATTTTTAATCAAATAAATTGAATTAAAAAAGCAAGTAGTAATTTTTATTTATCCAAAAAACAAACAGAAAAGTGAAAAAGTAAATTTATTTTAACCAAACAAATCCTTCTAAAAAGTTCTTGTTTAAACTTGAAAGGTCAAAAAATGTAAATGGTAGGAGTTTTATAATGCTTTTAAGAATTGCACCACTCTAAACCAAAATAATGCCTTTTTGATCATCTTGTAATAAAATAGTTATTTCAACAGAAACAGCATCATAGATGAAACAAAAATTTAATTTCTAAAGCAAAAGTTAACAATAACTTTTATCAAATGTGTCAAATTAAGAGCATCATTCTCATTGAATGAAACATATATAAATAGCTTAAAATTTTAAATATTTAACGTTATATTTAATAAAAATATTTAATATTAACCATTCAGAAATGGTTTCAAATATGTCAGATAGTAATATAATGTTTGTTTTTATTTCACTACAAAATTTACTGTGATACAGTTTCAAAAACTGCACATTTTGACAGTAAATTATTTTACAGTTTTTTGCATCTTTCAGCACCAGCAAACTTCGCTACTGATCTTTAAAAAAATGAAATCATGCTTTAAACACAGTTATGCAAGTTACTTTTACTCAATCAATAAAATAATACAAATGCATGCAATATGTACTATACAAAAATAAATACTTTAAGTGAAGAAAATTATACATTAACTTTTATTTTTAATCTATAATTTAGGCGCATTTAAATAAAGTAATAAAAGTAATAGATATATACATAAAATGAACTATGATAATAAGCTCTTACCATGGACGAATATCCCTCTCCAATATCCATGCTATCCCCGGCCATGTTCAAGATTATTATTTGCTGTACAGGTTAACTAATCACTTTTCAAAAAAGGATATGAAACTGGAAAATCATCTCTAAAATATTTTTAAAGTAATTAATAAACTTCAAATATCTTAAATAGTATTAAAATTTCACATTAGAATGATATCTAATATGTAAATATATGATTATTTCTGAATTTGTAAGATTAAGAATGAAATAAGGGGGACATTTGTTTATTAAGGGGTGTTGTGATTAATCAGTAGAGATACGTAATCTCTTCTCAGATATAAACAAAAAGATATTTACCTGTAAGAGATATGCTTCTGATTACGTTGAACGAACGCAACTTCTAAAAATTTAAAACAAGTAGACAAAATTGCTAGTACAATAATTCATAATAGGAGATCAAAATGGTAATAAAAAACTATTCAAATCATTAAAGAGCAGTAAACTTCGGATTTATAACTCATTAAAGAGTTATAAATTTTGGATTTATAAGAGTTTATTCACATACATCACGTACACTGAGATCGCAAATACATACTATGACAAGTCCAGAAGAAGACGATTGCTTCCGACGGACAGTTTCTACCCGATTGCATCTGTGAGAAATTCAAGAATCTGCTTGCAGAACTATTTTGATTTCTCTAAATATATTTTATCATAGATACTATTTCAGTTTTATTATTTCTTTTAAAATAAATTATTCAAGCATGCAGATTCATTTATTATGCTAATAAATAACTATATATCTCGACTAAGATAGGAGAAAAAATAACTCATTAAATTAAAAGAAATAGACTAATATAGGGGATAAGGACATTTAAC